GTTGTTTCTAGAACAGAGTTTGCCTGGAGGACTTGGGTGTTCCAAGAAAAGAGGCGGCGGGTTCAATGAATTCTCTGCACCATCTTCCCATGTCCTACGAGGACAAAGGGAAACAATCTATTAAAGTGTTACTAAACACACAACAGTACAATCAGTCTGTATATGCAGTAAAGCGTGCTTGTTATACTCACTGTGGAACCTAAGGGGTTAATCCTCCACATTGTGTAAAAAGGCTGTGTGATCCTGTCTTCTCTGATCCTCCCCTTCTTCCAGTGTCCCCAATCAATCTGCTGATAGAAAAGAGCCTTGGGGGCAAGCTGCTGCACATGCTCCGTTTGGTGTATTGCTAGAGAGGTTTTTTTTTCCTTGGGAGGGTGCATGGGATCAGCACAGGGCCAATCAGCACTGTCCAGACAGAGGTCAGGGGTCCTGCATCCTCCTAGAATGAAAATTCCTCCTACACTGATAGAAGTCACAAGACTGCTCTAACTGCTGATGAGAAAAGGCATTTAGCAGTTTATATTTACTAAATCACTAGCATTTCCATGTTGTGTGTACTGTGGGAGACCAGATATAGTGAATGCAGGGTCCGGGGTTTAGTAACACTTTAATTTTGTATCAAATCAGATGATGATGATGTTAGATCCAAAGAAGATTGTACAATCAGATTGTATAGTGCAGTGTCATCTTGAGGGCATGTGCACACATCAGTGCTCTCTGAAGAGTGATCCATATTTGGACCACTCTTCAGAGAGCATTTGACAGGCGGTGAGAAGCCGTTGTATCACCTCCTGCCTGCTTCAACCCCGTGATTCCCACACTAGCGTGCCACAACTGCATGTGGTTGCAGAGTGCCCCCCATTCACTTGAATGGGTCTTGTCTGGCTGACGCTATACCCACCCACAGCATGGGGGGGGGGGGGGCAGAATTCTTGCCACAGACATGAGGGAAAGCATTGTGACCACAGCATGTGTACACCCCTGGCTGCTGCCTCTGCAGCAGAGGTTGGGGTGTGGTAAAAGTATGTCTTAACCTCAGGGTTTTACCACCCCCCCCCCCAACTTCACTGTGAATGAGCCCTTAGAAAACTGTCACTGAAACAAGTGTCCATATTGGAGGATTTCCTCTCCATCTGTGTTCTGGTGACAGCTGAAAATGTTGATTTGCTCTTACTTCTGGTCCCGGTGACACTGGTGATCAGGACAAATAGAAAGAATAAATTGTCATAAAGGGGACACAGGCAGCAACAAAAACCTGACAGGGGTTCTGACCCATCAGCACACCCCAATACAAATACTTTATCTTTAGATACACTTTACAATATGTATACAGGAACTGTTTACCTGCCGATAGCTGTGTATATGTGTTCAGCCAGTCTTGTGATCCAGGCTCTGCTCTGTGCAGGTCGGTGACCTCTCTTTTCTACCCTTCAGTTAATCAGTACAGTGTGGTCACTGAGGCTACATTCACGCCAGCGAGTAAAGCCGGTAGCCAGTGAGTAAAGCCGGTAGCCAGCGAGCAAATTGTAGCGGCAGTTCCTGCTGCGACTCTCAGCGGCTAGGTACGGCCACTGACTGTTCACTATGACAGCATGCAGGCGGCTGCAGCTATTTGTGGCTCTCTGCACAGCCAGCGATTACCTGCAATTGTCGCACCTGGACGCACACAAAGTCGCTGCCGGCGACCTGTCATTATAGTGAACAGGGCCAGCGACCGCACTATAGATCAATGAATCCTGCCGCTACTATTCACACCGACACTATTCACCAGTGTGAATCTTTTGGTGTTGCGGGGGTTAATACAACTGAACGGCTGTCATTAGACATGTGCAATTCGTTTTGTTCCGAATCGAAATTTGGAGGAATTTTCCATTATTTGGAGATTCTGATGTATCCGAATTACAATAGCAACAAATTTAAATGAGTCTGAAATAACTAAATGAATTTTGGGCAAAATTCGAATCGATTCAAATTAAAAAAACAAATTCAAATTTGAAAACCAATCTGAGCACCAATTCGAATTTGAAAACAAGAACAGAATAAAATAGAACAGAAAATAAAGAAATAGAAAAGAATAGAATAGAGAATAAAATAATAGAGGGAAAAAAACTGAATAGAAAATAAAAGAATAGAGCAGAATACAGTAGAAAATAATAAACAAAATAGGATAGAAAATAATAAAATCAATTAAAATAGAATAGAAAAGATTAGAATAGAAAATCAAAGAACTTCTTTCTTTCTTTCTTCTTCTTTCTCCTTCTTTCTTCCTTCTTCTTCTTCTTCTTCTTCATCTTCTTTCTTCTTCTTCTTCTTCCTCCTCTTCTTCTTTTCTCCTTCTTCTTCTTCTTTCTTCTTCTTCTTCTTCTTCTTCTTTCTTCCTTCTTCTTTCTTCTTTCTCTTCTTCTTCTTCTTCTTCCTTCTTCTTCTTCCTTCTTCTTTCCTTCTTCTTCTTCTTCTTTCTTCTTCTTCTTCTTCTTCTTCTTCTTCTTCTTCTTCCTTCTTCTTCTTCTTCTTCTTCTTCCTTCTTCTTCATCCTTCTTCTTCTTCTTCCTTCCTTCTTCGTCTACTTCCTTCTTTTTTCTTCTTCTTCCTTCTTTCTTCTTCTTTCTTCTTCGTCTTCCTTCTTTTCTTCTTCCTTCTTCCTTCTTCTTCCTTCTTCTTTCTTCTTCTTCTTCTTCCTTCTTCTTCTTCCTTCTTCTTCTTCCTTCTTCTTCCTTCTTCTTCTTCCTTCGTCTTCTTCTTCTTCCTTCTTCTTCTTCCTTCGTCTTTCTTCTTCTTCCTTCTTCTTTCTTCTTCTTCCTTTGTCTTCCTTCTTCTTCTTCCTTCGTCTTCCTTCTTCTTTCTTCTTTCTTCTTTCATCTTCCTTCTTTCTTCTTCTTCCATCATTGCTGGGAAAATTGGCCGATCATCCAAATTGACTGCAAATTTTCCAACATGACCAGTAAAAAAAACTGTGCAAAAAACGGCCGACCAATTAACCCACTAACAGTGCGAAAATCGGCCAATATTCGACCCGTCTATGGCCTGCATTAGGAGAAAGACAAAAATTGTTATTGTAGAGTGTTTGGGAGCGTTTTTCCTGCTTTTTGTTTAGCTCTTTTTTTTTCCCTACATGTACTGTAAAAACGCCATCAAAATCCTAACACTCCAAAATGCTAAAAAAAAAATGCTATTATCAGCAGGGTTCTAGGAGCAGAAAAGAAAATGCTGCTAACAGCTTCTAGGAGCCTTAAGAAAAACGCAAGTGTGCATGGAGCCTATTAGGAGAAGAAAAAAAACAGCTGTTGGTTTTTGGGGCGTTTTTCTAGCAGAAAAAAATGCTAAACGGTCCTAAACGCTTTTTTTTTTACATGTACTGTAGAAATGCTAATAAAACGCTAACGCTCCTAACCGCTCTGACGTGCTTCTAAACGCTACTGCAAGCCGGCACAAAGAATTTTATAAACAGCGTTTTTCAATCAGCTTTTTTTTTTTTCATCTGGCTTATTTTGAGCTTCTAAAAAGCCCTGTAGTGTGTGTGGAGCCGTGTGATGGTGTGCTGTGCTTGTCATGTCTGGGTGTTGGTGTGTCTCCATGTTTCCAGCACGTGTCCCTGGCTGGGTGTTGTCCATCTGCTCTCTCCCTGTCCTCCTCTCTCTGTATTGCTGATTACTATTCTGCTTGAGTGTCGCTCGTGTAACGCGGTGTCACCCGGTGTCACCGTCCTCCTCATGCTCCACCAGTTGCTCATCTGTCACTGTTGCTCGTGCTTCTTCTCCTCCATGGCATTGTTCTGGGGACACTTTGCTGCTTGGGGTGTCCCTCTGTGTGTGTGTGTGTGTGTGTCCAGGCAGTCGTGTTACCCACCTGCTCCCCCTCCCAGCAGATGATGTCACTGTGTTCCTCTGTGTGTGTGTCCCCTGGCAGTCATGTTACCCCCCCCAGCAGATGATGTCACTGTGTCCCTCTGTGTGTGTGTCCCCCCCAGGCAGTCATGTAACCCCCCCACCCACCTGCTCCCCCTTCCAGCAGATGATGTCACTGTGACCCTCTGTGTGTGTCCCCCCAGGCAGTCATGTTACCCCCCCCACAGCAGATGATGTCACTGTGTCCCTCTGTGTGTGTCCCCCCAGGCAGTCATGTTACCCCCCCCCCCAGCAGATGATGTCACTGTGTCCCCCTCTGTGTGTGTGTCCCCCCCCCCCCAGGCAGTCATGTAACCCCCCCCACCCACCTGCTCCCCCTTCCAGCAGATGATGTCACTGTGACCCTCTGTGTGTGTCCCCCCAAGCAGTCATGTTACCCCCCCCCCAGCAGATGATGTCACTGTGTCCCTCTGTGTGTGTGTGTCCCCCCAGGCAGTCATGTAACCCCCCACCCACCTGCTCCCCCTTCCAGCAGATGATGTCACTGTGTCCCTCTGTGTGTGTCCCCCCAGCAGTCATGTTACCCCCCCCCCCCGGAAGTCATGTCACCCCCCACCCACCTGCTCCCCCTCCCAGCAGATGATGTCACTGTGTCCCTCTGTGTGTGTCCCCCCCAGGCAGTCATGTTGATGTCACTGTATCCCTCCCCCCCCCCAGTCAGTCATGTTACCCCCCCCCCCCCAGTCAGTCATGTTACCCCCCCCCCCCCACCCACCTGCTCCCCCCCTCCCAGCAGATGATGTCACTGTGTCCCTCTGTGTGTGTGTCCCCCCCCCCAAGCAGTCATGTTACCCCCCCCCCTCCAGCAGATGATGTCACTGTGTCCCTCTGTGTGTGTGTCCCCAGGCAGTCATGTTACCCCCCCCCCCCCCCCCTCCAGCAGATGATGTCACGGTGTCCCTCTGTGTGTCCCCCCCCAGGCAGTCATGTCCCCCCACCCTCCTGCTCCCCCCCCAGCAGATGATGTCACGGTGTCCCTCTGTGTGTGTCCCCCCAGGCAGTCATGTCCCCCCCACCCAGTAGATGATGTCACTGTGTCCCTCCCCCCCCCCCCCCCCCCCTCTGGTCCCATGACTCTGTCTCCTGATCCCCCAGAGCCGCCTGCGTGCCGAGCCCGGTCATGCCTCGGGAGGGGGGGGGAGCGGCCAGTCGGATCCAGGCGGAGATGCTGCAGCTGGACCTGATCGATGCCGGACAGATCCCCGAAGACGACATCCGACCCCCCGTGGACCCCAAACCGTTCCTGCCTCCATCCATGGACACCTACCGACCCAAGAGACCCGACCACCCTCAACCTCTTCCCACAGGCCCCGCGCACACAGGTGAGCTGCGATTGGTCAGAATATTCTCGATGTACCGTATACCTGGGATTGGGCTGCCCATACATTGTACAATTTGCTGGAGAATGTTGGATTCACCAGAAACCGTCCGATACGAGGTCACACCGAGACACTGTTGTATCCAGGGGCGGACTGACAACTCATGGGGCCCCCGGGGAATACGGGATCATGGGGCCCCCCGGACAATAGGGGATCATGGGGCCCCCCCCCGGGCAATAGGGGATCATGGGGCTCCCCGGGCAATAGGGGATCATGGGGCTCCCCGGGCAATAGGGGATCATGGGGCCCCCCGGGCAATAGGGGATCATGGGGCCCCGGGCCATAGGGGATCATGGGGCCCCCGAGCAATAGGTGATCATGGGGCCCCCGGGCAATAGGGGATCATGGGGCCCCCGGGCAATAGGGGATCATGGGGCCCCCGAGCAATAGGTGATCATGGGGCCCCCGGGCAATAGGGGATCATGAGGCCCCCGGGCAATAGGGGATCATGGGGCCCCCGGGCAATAGGTGATCATGGGGCCCCGGGCCATAGGGGATCATGGGGCCCCCGAGCAATAGGTGATCATGGGGCCCCCGGGCAATAGGGGATCATGGGACCCCCGGGCAATAGGGGATCATGGGGCCCCCGGGCAATAGGGGATCATGGGGCCCCCCGGGCAATAGGGGATCATGGGGCCCCCCGGGCAATAGGGGATCATGGGGCCCCCCGGGCCATAGGGGATCATGGGGCCCCCCGGACAATAGGGGATCATGGGGCCCCCCGGGCAATAGGGGATCATGGGGCTCCCCGGGCAATAGGGGATCATGGGGCCCCCCGGGCAATAGGGGATCATGGGGCCCCCGGGCAATAGGGGATCATGGGGCCCCCGAGCAATAGGGGGATCATGGGGCCCCCGGGCAATAGGGGATCATGGGGCCCCCGGGCAATAGGTGATCATGGGGCCCCCGAGCAATAGGTGATCATGGGGCCCCCGGGCAATAGGGGATCATGGGGCCCCCGGGCAATAGGTGATCATGGGGCCCCCGGGCCATAGGGGATCATGGGGCCCCCGAGCAATAGGTGATCATGGGGCCCCCGGGCAATAGGGGATCATGGGACCCCCGGGCAATAGGGGATCATGGGGCCCCGGGCAATAGGGGATCATGGGGCCCCCCGGGCAATAGGGGATCATGGGGCCCCCGGGCAATAGGGGATCATGGGACCCCCCGGGCAATAGGGGATCATGGGGCCCCCCGGGCAATAGGGGATCATGGGGCCCCCCGGGCAATAGGGGATCATGGGGCCTGCGGGCCATAGGGGATCATGGGGCCCCCGGGCCATAGGGGATCATGGGGCCCCCGGGCAATAGGTGATCATGGGGCCCCCGGGCAATAGGGGATCATGGGGCCCCTATGTCCTTGCCCAAACTCAAAAAAGCCTATGAAAAAGGTACCAGGGGCATCTCATGGGGCCCCCTACTGACCCCGGGCCCTCGGGCAGTGCCCGAGTTACCAAATGGTCAGTCCGCCCCTGGTTGTATCCAATCAGACAGGCCCTCGTACCACATAGAGGAAGGTGAATGGAAAGGAAATCGGACAGGAAATTGTAGAGTGTATGGCCAGCTGTAGACTCCAAGACCGCCAGACGAGTATTTGTAGACAGTTGATGGGATGTGGGTTAATGTGGAAACAACGAATTTGGAGATCCCATCAATACAGAAGGATGCAGATTGGATGTAATTCTAGAGATAACAGAGCAGACTGAAGCTGGCCATAGACGGTGCAATCTGGTTGTACAATCTGCTTTACGTCTACCAGCAACGATGTAGGGCGAGGGACAACCTGATTGCACCCGAGATCGACGGATTGTAAAGGTAGGCCATCGTATTGTTTGGGAAATCTTGTCCTTGCAATCTGATTTAGAAACAAATTTAATGGAGGCCATAGACGGGTCGTTAATCGGCTGAATTTTCAGCCGATAATCAAAAAATCGGTCAACCCCGTTGCCGATGCTGCCACCCATGTCCACGAAAAGCGGCCGTTTTTTTGCAGATTTTCCAGCATGACCGATAAAACTAAATGAGAAGATCTACTACGAACAACGGCCGACGGGCTGGCCCCACTAACGGCGCGAATATCAGCCGATTTTTTCGTGTGGACAAAAATTTTTAGCCAATAAGCGACCCGTCTATGGCCTGCATTAGTCTGCCAACAGGTATGTAGGGTACGGGCCAATCTGATTGCATCGAAACGTGATAGATTGGAAAGGCAGACCAGCACATTACATGGTTCACAGTAAATCTTGGCCACACACCTTACAATCTGATTGTTACAGTAGGTCGTCATATGATTGTTGGTAAATCTCGGCCATACACCTTACAATCTGACTGTAAAATGTCATTTAAATCTGCCAACAGCTATATAGGGCACGGGCCAATCTGATTGCATCGAAACGTGATGGATTGGAAAGATAGACCAGCATATTACATGGTTGACGGTAAATCTTGGCCACACACCTTCCAATCTGACTGTAAAGTATTACTTAAGTCTACAACAGCTATGTAGGGTGCAAACCAATCTGATTGGATCGAAACTCGACAGATTGTTACGGCTGGTCGTCACAGGATTGTTAGTATATCTTGGCCATACACATTGCAATCTGATTGTAAAATATTATTTAAGTCTACCAACAGGTAGGGCACGGGCCAATCTGATTGGATCAAAACTCAACAGATTGTTAAGGTAGACCAGTGCATTACATAGTTGTCGGTAAATCTTGGCCATACACCTTGCAATCTGATTGTAAAATAGCTTAAGGTTGCCAAAAATGGATTGAAATTGCTATGTAAGGCAAATACCTATCTGATTGGATGGAAACACAATGGCTTGTTAATGGAGACCGTCACAAGACGTGGTTGTCGGTATCTAATGCTGACCATACATATTGCAATCTGATTTTAAAATGTCATTTAGGTCTACCAAGAGCTATGTAGGGCGCGGACCAATCTGATTGGATCAAAACTCAACAGATTGTTAAGGTAGACCATTGCATTACATGGTTGTCGGTACATCTTGGCCATACACCTTGCAACAGATAACAGATTGGTAAGGTAGGTTGTCATATGATTGTTATATCATAAGGTGGCCATAGATGGATTGGAATTCAGCCAACAGCTGTGTAGAGGAAAGATCTGTTTGATTGGATCAAAACCCCATGGATTGTTAGGGAAAGCCCTCATATTTCGTGGTTTGTTGGTATCTGCTCATCATACACCTTGCAATCTGATTGTACAATCTCATTTAGATCTACCAACAACTATGTAGTACACGGACCTGTTTGGACACAGATGGACAGATTCGGTAGGCGCTGATATCGCATCGTTTTGGTAAATCTAAAAAGCTATTTTTCAGAGATTGTATGGTCAGATTGTAACATGTATGATGGCACATTACATACAATACACACACATTACACACAATACACACATTACACACAATACACGCAATATACACAATACACACAATTACACACAATACACACATTACACACAATACATACATTACACACATTACACAAAATACACACATTACACACAATACACACATTACACACAAGGTCCTGGCAGGGAATGGGTGAGATGAATGTGTATGGAGGTCCTGGCAGGGAATGGGTGACATGAATGCGTATGGAGGTCCTGGCAGGGAATGGGTGAGATGAATGCGTATGTAGCCCCTGGCAGGGAATGGGTGAGATGAATGCGTATATGGAGGTCCTGGCGGGGAATGGGTGACATGAATGTCTATGGAAGTCCTGGCAGGGAATGGGTGAGATGAATGCGTATGGAGGTCCTGGCAGGGAATGGGTGAGATGAATGCGTATGGAGGTCCTGGCAGGGAATGGGTGAGATGAATGCGTATGTAGCCCCTGGCAGGGAATGGGTGAGATGAATGCGTATGGAGGTCCTGGCAGGGAATGGGTGAGATGAATGTCTATAGAGGTCCTGGCAGGGAATGGGTGATATGAATGTGTATGGAGGTCCTGGCAGGGAATGGGTGACATGAATGTGCCTGGAGGTCCTGGCAGGGAATGGGTGAGATGAATCCATATGGAGATCCTGGCGGGGAATGGGTGACATGAATGTCTGTGGAGGTCCTGGCGGGGAATGGGGTGAGATGAATGTGTGTGGAGGTCCTGGCAGGGAATGGGTGACATGAATGTGTATGTAGGTTCTGGCAGGGAATGGGTGAGATGAATGTGTGTGGAGGTCCTGGCAGGGAATGGGTGAGATGAATGTGTGTGGAGGTCCTGGCAGGGAATGGGTGACATGAATGTGTATGTAGGTCTTGGCAGGGAATGGGTGAGATGAATGTGTGTGGAGGTCCTGGCAGGGAAATGCCTGGGGAGATGAATGGGTGAGATGAATCCATATGTATGGAGGTCTTGGCAGGGAATGGGGGAGATGAATGTGTATGGAGGTCCTGGCAGGGAATGGGTGACATGAATGTGTATGGAGGTCCTGGCAGGGAATGGGTGAGATGAATGTGTATGGAGGTCCTGGCAGGGAATGGGTGACATGAATGTGTATGGAGTCCTGGCAGGGAATGGGTGACATGAATGTGTATGGAGGTCCTGGCAGGGAATGGGTGACATGAATGTGTATGGAGGTCCTGTCCTGGGAGATGAATGTGTATGGAGGTCCTGGCAGGGAATGACATGAATGTGTATGGAGGTCCTGGCAGGGATGTGGGTGGACAGGGAATGAATGTGTATGGAGGTCCTGGCATGGGTGACATGAAGTGTATGGAGGTCCTGGCAGGGAATAGGTGACATGAATGTGTATGGAGGTCCTGGCAGGGAATGGGTGACATGAATGTGTCTGGAGGTCCTGGCAGGGAATGGGTGACATGAATGTGTATGGAGGTCTGATGTTTATGCAGGGCTGAGTGTGGTGTAGTGACAGGCCTTCTATAGGACGGTTGGTGTTAGCGGTGACGTTCCCCTG